ACTTCGTGTGACCATGTGTCCCGATCGCTGAATCCAGATAGTGGAATGATAACCCGGGTATGCTGAACACCCTTCATAGTACGGGGCCCTGGATAAGCCCAAATCCTGCTTCACAGTACAGGTCTCTGCTCTTAACTGGCTATAGGTTGAGTAGAAGTTATCATGGTGACTTAACCAGGTTGAACAAATAATAAATAAAGAACCTGACATTAATCCCTTAAGCCTTTGAACTCAAACGACATTTATAAAGTTAAAAGATATTTATACGTGTTTTACAAACCAATGATATGGCATAGTAATACATTTTAACCTCTTTAGACTGCAGGACAAACTGACACTGAGATGTTTCATGTTTATTTTCAAAGCTTTCTTTTTATACACATCTACATATTTACAAAAACCTTAACAGAACAAGCATCCAAGAGAAACAATTTAAACTCCAGAGGAGATTTTCTGAACCAAACTCGCACACCCACAACAGAATTGATGCACCACGCTTTCACATTATGCAAAAAAATCTAACACAGTTATACGTTCACGCGCTACCATGCACAAAATGCAAACACCCTAAACTGCAACCACGCGCGGCCCGAGACGTCTCACTAACAGAAGGATAAGAGCACAAAGCATACGAGGCATACCACACTAATGTGCAACATTTTCTAACACACGTCCACTTTGAACAAACATCCACACATAAATTCACTCCACCACAGTTTTAAAAAAAAACCAAAAACATAAAAAGGACACACGGGACCCTTCTGCAAATAACTCACCTACTCCATCACCATCTGTGTAGGAAAATGATCTGATCAGTTAGTGGCCACTGAACTTCATAACTGTGACAAAATACTTTTGGCACGTTTTTAACCAAGGTATTGTTTCCCAGTTTTTTCCAGAAAGGTTGTCCATTTGTTGAGTGCTACACATAAACTGCTACACTGTGAAAAGTGATTTCTTTCTTTATAACCTTTTCAGTCTCTGCTACACAGATGTTGCACAGAGTAAGTGGTTACTTGTGGAAAGGTAACTGGAAAGATCCACTACAAGTGGGGTGAAGAGCAGATCAATCGGAATCATATTTGTCTCCATCGTCGTCATCATCATCGCCGTTGTCGTCGTCACCACGGCAGCCCAGCTCGTGCGTCACTTCCCTCTGGTAGCGCTGCCAGCTCCTCCTGCTGTAGGAGTGTTCCTCCTCCCAGTAACCTGCACAGAAGGCAAATGTAATGGTTAGCAAATAAACACCATTCAACACTTGTTTGCACCAAGTGACACTGAGGCTGAAAAATGAAGCAAACCCACAGGGAGCAAGAAACAACAGCTTAGTGAACTGAACTTCACTGAACTGCCATTTGAAGTTGGTAAATATTGCGAAATTTGTACTCTGGTTTTAGTAAGTGTTTCATCAGTCCGTTGCTTCGCAACAACTAGCACGTATCTGTGTCTGTCTAGCGAGTTTATAGATGCAATCTACAAACCTCAGCACTGAACCGTCTCACCCATATATGTTAACTTCCTGGTCTGAAAGACCACAAAAACCATTGAGTGACGTGGTGGCTCCATCCATGTCCTACATACAGTTTTAAGCAGAACACTTTTCTTAAAAGTAATGCAGTAGTTTCCTTAATTAGAATCAGAATCAGAATACTTTATTGATCCCTAGGGGATTTTTTTTAAATTTAATTTAATTTAATCTAATTACACTCAGGAGAAAGTAACACGATACACTACTTGTTACATTACTTTGTAGGGATGGGGGAAAAATCGATACTGTGTAGTATGGTGATATTTTGTTTGCTAATAATGTATGGATACAGAGACAGCAGAAATCGATATTTTGTTACAAAAA